CGTAATAACAGGAAGCATTTATTAAGCGTTTCGGAATTGTCATAATTCCATCATCAGTAATCTTGAGATACAAAACAAACAAACAATATTTGCAACTACAACAGAAATATATACATAAGAAATAAACAGCTCAAATATACAAATATAACACAAGAAAATGAAAACATATTTGTATATTCGAGTTGTTTATTTCTTATGTATAGATTTCTGTTGTAGTTACAAATATTGTTTGTTTGTTTTGTATCTCAAGATTACTGATGATGGAATTATGACAATTCCGAAACGCTTAATAAATGCTTCCTGTTATTACATTCATGTTTTGTTTTATCATTAAGGTAGTTTCTGTAGGTTGTAAATCCAGTGTTTATAATCTCTCCAATGATTTTTCCCTTTACTACGGTATGCAATACAAATTTAAAATGTGAGGGCAAAATGGCCAAAGAGATACTGAAGGGTAGCTGTGGATTTAATGATTTTTGGAATGTACCATGGCCGTTTTAAAAAGTACGGCAACAATTGCCACCATGGCTGCCATGAATTTTCTGCCCTGAATGTTGTTTATTAAATTAGTACAGAAAGCAATATAACTGTTTTTTTGTTAATGAAGTACATGATACAATAGCATGCAGAAAGTCATTTCTCTAAGTATTTAATTAAAAGTAACAAATACAAATCACGTTAAGTTATTAAAATCCCTTCCTGCATTTTGTAATCATGATTAAATAGCCACTAACTGAAGAAATTATTCAACCTAATGTTGCAAACAAATCCTGAATTGATCAAATCTTTTGTACAACCACTTTTAAGATACTTTTCCACCATGTTATATTTGCTGTATACAAGAAATGTATCATTTTTAGAATTTTCATAATGCAAGTGTCAGCTTATACTTCACAGTGTTAATTCCACTCAGAAATATGACTAATCACCATCATCTGTTTCCTAGCATCAAACTCTGTGTCTACTTTAAATTTTTCCATTAAAACAGGAATATTCAAACTGTTATTTTATTTTCTCTGACTAATGATTCCAACAGTCTATTTAGTATACTTGTAATACTGAAATGATAAATAGCCTCGGCGCATAGAAATGTTATCTTCCTCACTCATGAGATTTGCATGTCACTGTTTGTGTGTTTAACATGAACTGTGCTGGTGTTGAGGATTTCATCATGCAACAAAAGTCCTCCACCAGTAGGAGGGTTGCACAACCTCCATGTGCAGTAACTCCCTTGCATTACTTGCACTCATGATAACATCATGCTCTTCCTTGGCACTGTATTGAACAGGCTTTTTCAAAATTTGTCTGGCTTCAATGTGATGAGAATTACATTCGTTAATGAAACTTTGTTTTTCGTTATAATTTGGCTTTTGTCTTCACAGCTTCACTTTATTATAATGAGTTCTCAAGAGATGATTACTTCTACTATGCAATAAATAGTGATATTATTCACATAGGCTCTATCTCTACTAAGGCATCGAGGGGTTCATTGACTGAGGACATCACAGCCATTGTGTAACATGTTGTGGGGTTTATTGTGCATTCTAGGCATTCTGTTCCTGTCCATTCTTTTAATATTTCTTCCCCTCATTTTAAGTTTCAGGAGGAGGAAGACAGATTTCATCACCTGTTCACTCTTCTTGTATTTGCATTGTGTACCTCTCTAAAAATTGAAGAAAGCCCTCAGCCTTCAACACTTTGCACCATGACCCTAACCTTTGCAATTATTTCCTCTTTTCTCCCTTACCTGACATTCGGGTTCATGCAGACTCCTTCCTTGAACAACTTTATAGCCATCACCATATACCTCATCCTTCTTGCCTTTGTGATTCTTATGTCCTGGTTTACAGTTATTCTTCATTTCTGTTTGATTCTCATTATTTGGAATTTCTATATTACCCACTCGGGGACCCCCCCCCCATCTCCTGTTTTGCTCTAGAGTATTCAATTTTCACATCTTTGTCTTTCTCTCTCCACCTTTCTTCATTACTTTTCCTCACTGCACCTTATGTATAAGGCACTTTATCGCCCTCCAGATGAGTTTTCAGGGGAAGTTTGTTCCCTTCTTTTTACCACTTTTTCTGCCCTATCCCTGCTTACTTGGTTCCTTTGCTGTGGGGACTTGTTAAGTAGGGATACACTCTTTACTAATGTATGCCTACCCACTTCCTATTGGGTGATCTTTGTCAGGCTTCCTATCTATGGTGATTTTTCCAGGTTCACTGAAGACCCAGGCAGAGGTAGTCTGGCACCAGTCTTTATTGTTTTCTCTGGTTTCTTGCCTCTCACATCCTTGCCCTTCAACTCATATTCCTTGACTAGGTCAGTCTACCCCTCACCTTCCTGTTCCACATTCCAGACATTCCTTCTATTTCTGTCCCTCCCACTGCTTGCCACCAGGTCCATTATATGTCTTGTCTGTGACTATCCTGTTGATTTGGGACCCATGGGGGGCCTGTCACAGCTATCCTTTGGTCATAGTTTTTTAACTGACAGATGGGTTCTTCAAGTCCTTACCTATGATCTCTCTCTCTCCACCCACCCCCCTCTCTCTCCTTTTCCCATTTCCTTTTCTTCTCCCTCCAGTTCTGTCCATGTTCAGCATCTTAAGAATGCAGTATCAGATCTTTTGACCAAGCATGCCTTCAAGAATGTACATGACCCTTATCCAGGTTTTTACTCTTGTGTCTTTGTGATCTCCAAGAAGACTGAGGACTGGTGCATACTAATCACCCCCTCACCTCTCAGTAATTTTCTGTTTGTTTCATATTTCTAGATGGATAACTTATTTTTTCTCTGGTGGCCCTTTTCACCTGGGCTGTGGATGACCAAGGTCAACATTTCAGATGCCTTCCTCCACATCTCAATTGCCCCATCCTCCAGACATTTTTCATGATTCATCCATTGGAATCATTGTCTTTCAGTTCCATGCTCTTCACTTTAGCATAGAGTTGGCTTTTTGTGTCTTCACTTAAGTCATGAGGACCTTCGCTTACCACCTTCATAGCCTAGGACTGATATTCCACTTCTACATGGAAGATTGACTCCTCTTAACCCATTCCCAGGAAGCATACTCTTTTCACACCTCCCTCCTTCTGCAGGAGGCTGCTCGGTTGGGGTGGCTTGCCAAAATACCCAGGTCTTTTCATATGCCTACTTAGTATTTGATACATCTGGGCATCTTCTTCAACTCCTGTCTAAGCTGAGCTCAGCCTTCTCTCCTTCACCTGTGAGCTATGGATTGTCTGGTTACCGAAATTTGCACTTTTCATTGTGCGTGAGAGGTTCTTTTTCCCTGAAACCCCACATTCCTTTGGAGTATGTACACATGAGCCTTCTCCAGTGGACCTTGTGGGACCAATGGATTCTGTTTCAGGATCCACTGTCCTCAGTTTTGTACCTCCCCTCTCCTCTACTTGAGGAATTGTCATGGTGGCTGGACTGTACCAATACTACCTCTAGAATTTTCTTTTTACACCTCCTAGACCAGATCCCCATCTCTTCACTGATGCTTCCTTCTGAGGATGGAGAGCTTCTCTCAAGGATGACATGACTGGCATTTGGATGCAGGATGAGCATTCACTCCATATCAACTTACTTAAACTTCTTGCTCTTTGTCGGGCCTGTTCCCATTTCCTGCCACTACTGGTGGATAACTTGGTATGTAGAGGTGAGTTATAGTCTCGGAAGTTAACATTTTCCTAAGCTGAAAATGCATCACCAATAGACACTCACATTCCCACCTGTCCTCTTCACTTCTGGTGCACATTTTTTTATTGCCCCATCAAAGAATGAAGTCATCACAAGTGCATAGGGGGAGTTATTGTGCATTGAGGTTGTATTGTTCTCCTATTAATGGAGGATCTTTGTTGCATTAAGATGTCATCATGCACTAGCATAGCTCACATTAAATACATGAACTTAGGTTGGAGGAAATGATTACAATGATTATTTACAAATATTATAGTCATATGGTTCAGGTTAAGCTATCAATGTTAACAGTAAATATCTATGTAAATGTGAATGAAAGCTATATATATTCTGAAAACAAGCATGTATAGTGTAACTCATAAAATTTCTGTTTATGATATAAGTAAATATAAAAAAAGAAACTTCAAAACCACATTCAACTTTTTACACACTTAAATATCCAAAAAGAAGTACTCTTGATCAGAATTTCTGTTCCCAATGCTCCTTTTGCATTATGTTTTAAACTGAGTCTTTCATCATCCCTCTTATCCCTAAAAATAGCTTTCTTGATTTCTTTTCTCTTTTACATTGAAGAAAAAAAAAGGCTTTCTTTAAAAATAAAATAATATTGGTTTTGTATAAAAAAATTATCTTGCTGTTTTTTAGTGTATAATACATATATAACATGTATTCTTCCAGGATTTTTGAGCAGCACTGAAATGTTTTTTTTTCCACTCATTCATATAGTAAAAGCTGTTTGATAGAACTTTTAAATACTGTGTGGTTTTTGGCTAAGGAAAAATTCACCCTTTCATTTTACACCTGTATATGTTAGTGTACTTGTAACTGGAATTACATAATTTAATAAACAAATTTCTATGTTATTCTATTTGGACTTAGTGATTTGGTTGAAAACTTAGCCTGGGCAAGTGCACAGATTCACTGTCAGTGCTCAGTGGATGAGATTAAAGTCAAGTTCCCTGCATCATCATCTGTATCACAAGAGGAGTTGGCTACAGCTTCACAGGAAACTTCTTTTATTCCATCCCGAGGTACATTGCAATGCATAATTGGTTCCTTAAATTCAGTTTTTTAAAATAAAGTTGATAAATTTTAGTGTACAACATGCTTCATTTTCTCAATACGTTTGTGAATTTGGTATTAATGTGTCACTGGAGTCCTGTTTCGTATCAAGATACATTGCAAAGTACAGTTTAAAGCTTAAGTAATTTATTAACTTTTAAGGTAATGTATATGTGTGTGTATATGTATGCTTGTAGTATTCTACATAATATCACAGATCTTGTTTTGTAGAAGTGTTCAATGTTCAGCCTTAACTCCTTTGCTTTACAGTAAATTTTGGGTACCAGCTTGTGGAAGTCACAAGAGCTTAGGGACTTTGACAAAATTTCAGTATACTTTCTCAGTTATATAGTATAACATGTGCATAAAATTATCATATGTCCTAATGGAAAACTAATTTTGGAGCCACAAAAATCATGATGCAAGATTATACAAACAGATGTCGCATGCAATTTTAGTATCTAGACAAATAACCTTTAAACTAAAGGAGAAATATTGATTTTTGGAAAACATAACACCTTAATCCTCCTTTTTTGGGGAATAATGACTTGAAGGATTTAAGGTAAGAAAATTTTCAGTAGTTTATTTTTTCATTATCTTGAGATCATATATTCTTTTTTTTTTGTTGTATAGGTTTTTTAGAATACATTTTACTAATAAAAAATTTATAACTAGAAAAACACACACTAGTGTTGCGCATCACCCTATCATGAACTGCATGTGTTTCTTCTCATCAATATAAACAAACTGTTCTATTGCTGTAAATCATTTTATAACTTTTAAGTCTGAGTAATCTTCATTTATTTTTATGGTACTGTTAACTGACAGGATTATAAAAATGGTACTATGTTTTATATTGCTATATAATTATTATATGTATCTGAAACTAAACTCTTAATGAACTGTTATAACTAGAAATAGGAAGCAAAAAATTAACACTATACGTTTTTAATGAACATGCAAGACTAAGTGTTTGCATTGATTGAACTGAAAATATCTAACTGAAAAATTTGATACTTTTCCTGTAATTTCACAGGAGAGAAAGGACATGTTGTATTGTCAACAGAACCAAAAATTCTATTCTGTGATCTGAAACTACGTCCAGGAGAGAGCAAAACATGTGAGTCCACCGATTGTACATTTCAGGAGATAATTTACCTCAGACATTTTGTATAGTAGCAGTTGCTACACAAAATAACTTTGCATAGCAGTTGAAAAAACTTGCACTGCACATACATGTGGCTATCTAGATAAACAAATATTGCTTGAATCTCGAGAAACGTGTTCCAAAGAATATTTATTTTAGAATTTCTTTGAATTCTTAACCTTGAAAATGCTAATGAACAAGTGCTTTTCTTCATTAGGCCTACTTATGTAAGATCAATTTTTCAATCCAAGATATGTCCATCTTTTAAAATCGAAATCATATCTTGTTGTAAGATACAAAACATAATTGGGCCATAATTTAAGATTAACTCCTTAGAAAGGCATTTTCTATCCAGCAGTATCACCACAGAAATTGAATATTGTTTACTGTTTTGAACTATATGAAAAGAATCATACAAATTACAAGTAATTCAAAAAAATCTCTGATACACGTTGCCTACCCACAGTAGTAAAAATTGCATCATAATTTATGCTACACAAGGGTAAGATTGAATCAGATCTAGGGTTGGTTTTGGATAAGAAAGTGTGATGTGATACTGGACAAATTATTTACTGTATTTTTTATTATTTTGCAAGGGAGAGCTCATCCAGAATTGATAAGTAGTACCATGTAAATAGCTTTATTAAGAAACTTGAATTAAATGTTTTATAGCATAATTATTTACATTTGTTTGTAAAAACCATGTAATTAAAACAAAATGTCTTTTTTTTTCTAAAAGCTTAAAATTATATATCTGTTAAACTTTTTATGTAAAGGAAGAGTTTCCATAAGGTCTGTTTTTAACCCTACTTTAAATATTTTATGTCAATAGCTGAACTTTTCAGCATTCATGAAAACATTTATTGTCTTTATGCTATGAGTGCATTTACATTCTACATTTATTTTCATACATTTGTTTTGCCCCACTATATATACTTGTGATAGGCAGCCTGTGGGTTTAGTTGTTGGGTTTGACTATACACTCGTTACATAGTAATTTTTTTGGATTTTGGGTCATGCTGTAATGAGCAGAGCACACAAGCCACCAACTCGAGGATGTTTACATGCTGAATAAAAAATTCACATAGAGACAAATGAATACAAACCAAATAACTTCATTATTATACACTGTTGAAAAGTCCATTTATATTGAAACTCTCAAGGTTGTTTTGTGATAACACTACTTTTAAAGCATTGAGTTCTTTGTTTTGAAAGTCTAGATTTTCATTAATAAGACTTTCTGTTACCTCCAATAATATAGATATAACATTAGTTAAGTTATCAATTAAGTTAACACGAAAAATTCTCTCGGTCATAATCTGTATATATATATATATATATATATATTAACAATTCTGTAAGATATCTTTCAGTAGTTCCATTATAAGTGTTATCTAATCTACTATTTCTTTAGTACAGTTAATATTCTTTACTTTTCTCTCTTTATATATTATTGAACCTTAAGTGAAACACTGTTAGACTAGACCATAAATAGCATACTTACAAAGAGTTTGTGAGGTGAACTTCTTGTAGATTCTGAATTACTGCTATCTTTTTCTGGAGTTGGATCAGGTCCTTGGAGCAACTTCATAAGTGGTGAAAAATTGATCAAGTTGGAGAAGTGCTGTTTAGAATCATAAACGTGAAATTACATACACAATTTTTAGCATTTTCCGATTGTTCAAGAACTTTAGCAGATCTACTTTCAAAAGTAATTCCTGTAACTTGATTGGTACAAGTGGGATCTTCCAGCAAAAAGTGGACTTTTCTATCGGACTGTATTTTCCTTATCTGGTTTTGCCATTCATGGGTTACTGTCTACACTTTCTTGTAACATTTTTGCTCAGCCATTTTCTCCATACTATATGTAGATACGTTATAAAATAAAGATGTACTTCTTAAAAACCTTCACATATTTAATATTTCCACAAATACTTCATACTGTGCAAATATTATGATACTATGTGCATATGCTCAATGTTAAAGTCGAGTCTGTGTGTAAATGGCTGATTTGTTGTGGAAATCAATACAATACCCATAATATGCTCACCATATTGACAAACACATAGCATCAATCTTCAAATTGACTTGTTTGGAGATAAGGAAGTACTGAAAGTACCACATAATGTTTCCTTTTTCAGTATTTTATTATTCTCCAGATTTTATGGGCAAAAATTACCCTTATGGGGACCCAGCTTTTAAAGGACAGTGGGTGTATTTCCTAGACTCAAGATTGAACCAGAGGGCTTTCACAAACGAGGCTTGACCTAGAGGTTGTGTGATGATTACTATTTAAGTACCAGTTTTTCTGTGTCCAATTTTTGCAGCTCTGGTGAGAAAGATTGTACCTGTACTACTTGCATGTCAGCCAAATGCTCTTCCAACTGAGATAAAGAATTAAAACTAATAGCAATTATTATGAAGACATATTTTTAACAGCTCAAAACAATCACAAAATATGCTCCATTGGGCTTTATAGTATATATGACTATTAACTCTTTGACTACCACATAACCATCAAAGTAACCATTAGATTAGTCATACTATAATTTCTGATAATGTATGTGCATCTTCACAAAATTTTTCAGACTATCGGTAAACATTACGAAGCTTTTGTACACAAAATATTAGATTTTTTAATTAAAGATTTACATTTGAAAATTTTTGCTTTTGGAATGTTGATTATCCAACTTGCAAAGTAATTTTTATTTTAAGATTAAAATATTTCATTTGAAAATTATCAAATTTCATTTGTGTGATCTCTGCAACTTCCTAAATAAATATGAAATCTTTTTTTTTTTAGATTTTATTTTCTTTACCATAATTCTATACAGTATAGTTTTTGTTAATCAAGTAGACTCGCATAATGTTTTTAAAACTGTACAGTAAGTCAGTAGCAAATGGAAAGCTCTAAAAAAATATATAAGAAGGTATCTTTATTAAACCAGACATAATTTGTTTCCAGATTTTGGATATTTTTTTGAAGTACTTTTAGTCATGCATTTAACAAATTGTATTGTATTCATATTTTAGACATTTACAAAGAAATAATTCCATCAAATGCTCCTCCTTCATACAGAGGACAGAATGTTAAGTACGTGTATAAAGTAACTATTGGAACTCAGCGAGTTAATGCTGTTATCAAGTTGCTACGTATACCTTTAAAAGTACTTGTGTTTCCAGGTAAGAAGCTAATACAACAATGGTAACTTTTGTAGCTAAATTGTTAACATTGTGTTTAAAAGCTGCACAAATTTAAATTACAACATATGATTTTACTAACTGTGTGTTTGTTAAGCCCTATAACATCTTATTCCTTCAATTCCTAAGGAAAAAAGGTATAAAAAATATCTGAGTATTCTTTTTATATGTTAAATCATCAGTTCATGTGTTGTTGTTGTTTTTTGTTTTCATGCTATTCTTAAGCTAATTATTTCAATTAAAAACTGAACTGGAAATCTTTAGATGTTACAGATGTTTCGATTTCTATGTTACAGGACTACCAGATGTTCATTTCCAAAGTGCTGGCGAAGAAGTGCAAGTGGCTCCTTCCAATCCTTTTCTTGAAGTTGAGAAGAAAGAGTCTTATCTTGAATTGGTGCTGCAGGTTTTAGAAAATATAACAGCTCGTCGAAAACCAAGTATGAAAGAATTGTACAGAATGGTAGTCTTTGTCTTCATTAATTGAAACCAACTTTTCTAGACACCTGGGCATATTTAGGATTTGAAGATAAACTTGGTTTTCAGTAGGTTTTATGAAAAATTAATTTACTGTATGCTAGTAGAAAAAATAGAGATAAATGAACTTTATTTTTAGTTAGCCATCTCTTGATTTTTCCAATTTATTTTTGATAAAATAATCCTATTTTAGATGCATATATTATGTACTTGGAAATACTCTCCACTAAATGACAGTTACAAAAGTACTCGTTGCATAATTGGACACTTAAATCTTTCGACACGGGGTCAGTCACATGACCTTTTGTACTTGTTTAAATTTGACATAAATTTAATACTTATAACTCTATATATTTGGTATATCTTCACGAAATTGGCAGTCTTTCAGTTAATATTACAAGTCTTTCACATACAAAAAGTCATTTCTTAAGGAAGTATTTCTAATAAAATAAAGTTTTGTCCATGAATATATTGAGTATATGTTTTGAATAGTCCATGTGTAAAGTAATTTTCATGTTAAAATTAAAAATACTTTTCGTC